TTAATTATATATAAATTGATCAAAATTATGTTTATAATATGTTTAATTATTGGTAAAATTGATTTAAAGATGTAAAAATTGACATTCATTTAAAAACAACTATTAGTAATTTCTTTATCAAATAAAATCAATTTTGGAGTTTTATCTACTAAAATTTATAATTATACATTCAAAATCAATTTTGCTAAGTTTTAAAATAACATTCAATGTGAAAATCAAGTCCATATCCTTGGTTATCCAAACAAAAATCATGTTACTTTTGACTCATATTTACTCAAAATCAATTATGCAAATTTACGTCAATTTAATAATAATTATATTGATTTATAATAAAATAATATTCGATCAGCGAAAATTATATCCTATGATTGCAAATTAGTTCTTAATTATCATTTTTAGAACATTGTGTGAATCATGTCCATAAAAAAATAGTTATATTAATGCATATCCAAAATTAAAAATCACTTAGAACTTAGAAGTAGAAAAACAAACACAAAAATAGTGGAAGTATCCACAAATACTTATCATTTTTGTCCATCTGATATCATATTATATTCATTAGGTTAAATTGTACTTTTCATTTTTTATTTTATTTTTAAAATTTATTTTAGTTTTTATTTTTAAAAATATTTATTTTGATAATTTTTTTCCTAATTTTGAGTTTATTTGATCTATTTAAAACAATGTTTGTTTTCACATGTGGAAGAGAGTCTTCATAGTAACATGAAAGGTTAGGAGACGTGTTCCGTTTACGATGAAACGACAATGCAAGTACTTAGAGGATGACTGAGTTCTATGAGCCACCATTGGACATACTCGTATACTGATGACTTTTGCTAAAAAAGGGGTAGAACCATGGTCCTTTATTTGAAAGAATGATTGTAGGGATGCAAACAAAGTTCCAAATCGTTTAAATCAGAGGATGAACATGTGCTTATATACACATAATTGTCTTCATTGATAGAGAGACATTTTAGGTGGTATCCATTACAGTTACCCATTACATTAAAACTAATTATCTTGAAGGAAAATTTTAGATACGTGGCTTAAATCTATTTAGAAATATTAAGAAATTTTGAGAATTTAAAATTTTATCAATTTCCTCCACTTTGGATCTTATTTCAAACTTGCCACGCCTAAATCACACACGTTACCCATTACATTTGGTTCACCCTACAATATTTAATTTGAGTAAACTTTTCTTTGGGCATCTTTTTTTGTTTTTTCTTCTAAACATCTTAAGATGTGTTTGTGTTCTGAACGAGTGATGTTCACGAGCAAAAATTATTAGATATTCTTACATCACATATTTTTTAATTAATTTCTAATATATATATATATATATATATAATTAAATATAAATTTAATGGTTGTGCACTGACTAATTTTTTTAGAAAGAAAATCTTTTGTCTCATGGTAATCTGCTCTAGTTCCCTTACAAGACTTTCGCTATTGGGTTAGCCATACATTTTACATGTTTCTAGCGATTCACATGTGGAAAAATTCCCACTATTGCCTCTCGTAGGAGTCTGGGCCCTGTCTTAGTCCCAGTGTGGTTGATCATCCTCTCGGATCAGTTATTGATTGTCGCCTTGGTAAGCTATTGCCTTACCAACTAGCTAATCAGACGCGAATCCCTGAGATCGTAAATCCCAAGTTTGTCTATAAAGAACGGATCTAATTATATTAGTGTTTATAATGAATTTATTTTGTATAATACTAATCGATAGGGCCTCATTGGTAAGTGCTACAAGATCTCGTATATTTGAACCCATTGTTGTGGAATAAGAAGCCTTCGTATCTTAATGCATGTATTTAATTTATTTGGAGCTATTAGAGTTAAATCTATTTTTTGGGGAATATGAGTCGAAGCAATAACAAAAATATTTTTAGTGGAACATTTCACAATCCTTTGAGAAATAGTTGACTAAAAGACCGAGGGATAAGTAATTAAACTCATTCACATCCAGATCATGAATATTTGGAATCCATATTATATAAGGTGACATTGCTTTTGCTAATTCAAATTGAAAGGTAATATAAAATTGGTATATTTTTTACATCGTATCCATAATTAGTGTATTTATCATAGTTAAAAGCTTTAGCTCTGTCGTTTAATCATAAATTATTATTTATATAAATTTGTTGATTTTCACAATAAATACCTTTAAAATTATACCAACAATGATTTTTGATTATATGATAATATAAAAGTTTTTAAATTGACAATTCATCACTATTAAACTTATTAAACATACACAACAAATTAAATTTCCTTTTAAATATAAGTAACAATAATTGATTTTAAAGCTACTCTACCCTTAATTAATTGTTAACTTTATTTTTTATACATTTATTTATAACTAACATTAAATACAACAATCACTTAAAATAAAAGATATCTTTGAAATCATATTGAATTTATTGTTGAATTAATTTAAAACAACGAACTTGAATACTTTTATTAATCTTAATGATTTGTCTTATATTACTTATAATTAAAATTAAAGATAATTCTAAATTTTTTATACATCAATAAATTAATTAAATATATATTATATATTTATTCTCTTATATAATAAGTGTCGTCTTAAATTATTTTACATAATTGATAAACTGATAGATAGATGAGAGATAATAATGATTATGCAAAGTTAATTTTACGATTGTTATAATAATACAACACTAAAAACACTTTTTATAAAACAAGCCACTTATTATCGGAGTTGAGGTTTACAAATGATACCGTACACACTTGATATACCTGAAATATTTCGTTGAATAGTGAGACTATTAACACTCAGTATCTATTCCTATATATAAATAAAAGAGGATTTTTTGATTTAATGTTGTACCGTCCAGGTAAAAATCCGATCAGATTTCTACTCGGCAAAAACTCGACTAGGTTTCCAGGCCACAAGCCCTTTCGCCTTATCGGCTCAGGGCTGGAAGGCAAGTGTACCGTATAGGTAAAAATCCGATCTGATTTCTACTCGGCAAAAACCCGACTAGGTTTTCCAGGCCACAAGCCCTTTCGCCTTATCAGCTCAGGGCTGGAAGGCAAGTGTACCGTCCAGGTCGTAGCCCGACCTGGTAGTAAAACCACCTTCTCGGCATTAACCCGACTGGGGTCCAGTACATACCTAGTCGGTCATAGCCTGACTTGACCCGTTAGACTCGGTTTCCCTTGCCTACAAGGGAGCTGCTCGGCACTTATCCTGCTCGACCCTTAGTATGGGCCCGGTCGGTCGGATTCCGATTACGCTTGTTCCCGCTAATCCCGCGCCATCGTGATAAGAACGGTTAGGGAAATCCCTCAATCCTCGGGGCTCAAGAGGCCCATGAACGACGTAATATAAAACCCAAAACCCTAGAGTTGAGAAGGCAGATTACACTTTTGAATGCTCTGGCTCGGAGGCTTGACCTAGGCAGAAACCCTAGTCCATCCCTTGGCCGGAACAAATGTATACTTTATTTGAGACAATTTAAACCTTTAAATTTTTTTTATTAAATGGAGGTCATGATAAGTTATACGAGTCTTAATGTATATTAATGTATAATAATCATGCATTATTCTATTGACTTGAGTAGTTAATCGGTCATTGGCTTCCTATTCTCTCACTAGTAGAAAATAATTTGCATTTAATGTTTTCCGCTTTCCAATTCTGAAATAAAGACAAAGATGAAAGATAAATATTGAAGGTGTATATGGTTTTTCATCAAACATGTTTGAAATGATTTCAATTATATATAAAATGATGAAAATTATGTTTATAACATGTTTAATTATTAGTAAAATTGATTTAATGATGTAAAAATTCATATTCATTTGAAAATAACTTTAGTAATTTTTTTATTAAATAAAATTAATTTTAAAGTTTTATCTACTCAAATTTATAATTATACACTCAAAATCAATTTTAATAAAAGTTTTCAAATGACATTTAATGTAAAAATCAAGTCCATATCTTTGATCATCCAAACAAAAATCATGTTACTTTTAACTTATAATTATTCAAAATTAATTATGCAATTTTATGTCAATTTAAAATTAATTATATTGATTTATATTAAAATAATATTTGATCAGCAAAAATTATGTTATATGATCGCATATTAGTTCTTAATTATTATTTTTAGAACATTGTGTGAATCATGTTCATAAAAAAATAATTATATTAATACATATGCAGAATCGATGATCACTTAAAACTTAGGAGTAAAAAAACAAACACAAAAATAGTGAAATATTCACAAATACTTATCATTTTTGTCCATTTGTTATCATATTATATTCATTAGATTAAATTGTACTTTTAATTCTTTTATTTTTTTTAAATTTATTTTAGTAATTTATCTTTAAAAATATTCATTTTGATCATTTATTTCCTAAATTTGAGTTGATTTAATCGCTTTAAAACAATGCGTTTTCAATTTTGAGACATAATTTTAATTTATTTTTTAACTAACTTAAAAATTAAAATTTGTTTCATTAGATTCAATTACATGAAAATTATATAACACAATTCAAACCAAAAAAGTGTCATAAACATGATCATTATATAACCAAAAATTAAAATTTTATAATTTTCATGCGTGTGAATCTAACAATACAAACTCCACAATTTAAATCAATTTTTATCATATTACAAAATTAAAAATAATCATTATTTTATATAGATTAAATTGACTCAAATATAAAATATAAATAATCAAAATAAATATTTTAATAAAAAAAATAAAAAAAATATAATTTAGCATGTTCATTACAATATCTACACTTTTTTTTTATTGTTTAATTTCTGTCTTGTAGTCTCTTTTTTTTTGTCTGTTTAGTGTCTTCATCATTTTTATTAAATTTGAAAGGTCAACGCAAATAGTTAATTTCAACAACCCAATACGAGCAGACTACAAGTTTCCAGGAAAACGCCACCAAAGTCCCCATTTCTCCTCTCTCTCTCTCTCTCTCTCAGTTGCCATTGAACATCGTTATCCGAACCATGTCCAACCCTAACTCCAATACAAACGAAGATCCGACCCCAACAATCCACTCGGGGGATCCGAATACCACCGCCGACCCTCAGGTTCCGCTTCGGAACCTGTCCCTGCTTCGGACCAAAATGGATTCTCTACATCACTTCCTATCCCAATCAATCAACACCAGCGCTCCCCTCACCGTCCATCAAATCGCCACGGTCTCAAACCACATCGTCAACGCCATCCACCAAACCATCGTCAACGCCGCCGCCATCGTCTCTTACTCCCGAAATTCCACCGCCGCCGTCGCTCCGTCATATCCGAAGAAACTCAACGCGGATAAACACAAACTCGAGCATCCCGAAGACGACGACGCCGCCGAAGCCTTCGACGGCGATTTCGAAATCGTGGAGCTCGACGCCGTGGAACTCCTCGCGGAACACATCCACTTCTGCGAGATCTGCGGCAAAGGCTTCCGGCGCGACGCGAACCTCCGCATGCACATGCGCGCGCACGGAGAGCGGGTCAAGAC